TTGCACATATCTCAGGAGGGATTTTGTCCCACTCCTCTTTGCAGATCTTCTCCAAGTCATTAAGGTTTCGAGGCTGACGTTTGACAACTCGAACCTTCAGCTCCCTCCACAGATTTTCTATGGGATTAAGGTCTGGAGACTGGCTAGGCCACTCCAGGACCTTAATGTGCTTCTTCTTGAGCCACTCCTTTGTTGCCTTGGCCGTGTGTTTTGGGTCATTGTCATGCTGGAATACCCATCCACGACCCATTTTCAATGCCCTGGCTGAGGGAAGGAGGTTCTCACCCAAGATTTGACGGTACATGGCCCCGTCCATCGTCTCTTTGATGCTGTGAAGTTGTTCTGTCCCCTTAGCAGAAAAACACCCCCAAAGCATAATGTTTCCACCTCCATGTTTGATGGTGGGGATGGTGTTTTTGGGTCATAGGCAGCATTCCTCCTCCTCCAAACACGGCGAGTTGAGTTGATGCCAAAGAGCTCGATTTTGGTCTCATCTGACCACAACACTTTCACCCAGTTCTCCTCTGAATTATTCAGATGTTCATTGGCAAACTTCAGACGGGCCTGTATATGTGCTTTCTTGAGCAGGGGGACCTTGCGGGCGCTGCAAGATTTCAGTCCTTCACGGCGTAGTGTGTTACCAATTGTTTTCTTGGTGACTATGGTCCCAGCTGCCTTGAGATCATTGACAAGATCCTCCCGTGTAGTTCTGGGCTGATTCCTCACCGTTCTCATGATCATTGCAACTCCACGAGGTGAGATCTTGCATGGAGCCCCAGGCCGAGGGAGATTGACAGTTCTTTTGTGTTTCTTCCATTTGCGAATAATCGCACCAACTGTTGTCACTTTCTCACCAAGCTGCTTGGCGATGGTCTTGTAGCCCATTCCAGCCTTGTGTAGGTCTACAACCTTGTCCCTGACATCCTTGGAGAGCTCTTTGGTCTTGGCCATGGTGGAGAGTTTGGAATCTGATTGATTGATTGCTTCTGTGGACAGGTGTCTTTTATACAGGTAACAAGCTGAGATTAGGAGCACTCCCTTTAAGAGTGTGCTCCTAATCTCAGCTCGTTACCTGTATAAAAGACACATGGGAGCCAGAAAAAATCCTGATTGAGAGGGGGTCAAATACTTATTTCCCTCATTAAAATGCTAATCAATTTATAAAAATTTTGACATACGTTTTTCTGGATTTTTTTGTTGTTATTCTGTCTCTCACTGTTCAAATAAACCTATCATTACAATTATAGACTGATCATTTCTTTGTCAGTGGGCAAACGTACAAAATCAGCAGGGGATCAAATACTTTTTTCCCTCACTGTATACGTTTGTCATTATTTACAGGATTGAATACCATGTACCTAGGGTTGCAAAATTCCCAGGTTTTCCAGAAATTCTGGTCAGAGGGATTTCCTGATTATTCTCTCCTGATTCCGGAATCTTCCAAACGGGATTTCTGGGAAAACCTGGGAATTTTTAGGAAAGTTTTGGGAATTTTGCAATCCTACATGTAACTTTAATGTACAGGACTACATTGCTGCACAACTACTTAGAGGGAACATGAGTTTAATAGTTTATGCAATTACATTGTTATAACCAGTTATTACACAGTAATTACATTGTTATTATGCTACTATTATTATTAGTATTACCCCTTTACCTTATCCTTAACACCCATTGTACCCAATATGTAATAATAACTCAATACTTTACCCATTATGGCAAGATTACATATCGTCACGGTGAGGGAGTGAGTGTGTATGTGTAGTGTGTGTGTGAAGTGCACTTACAGTGAGGGTGTGAGTGTGATGCATTCAGTGTGAGGATGCAGGTGATCGTATGTACAGACACTGTTAGGGACTACATAGGAGACTTCAAGCAGCGAAACCTACACACACACACACACACACACACACACACACAGACATACACCCTACATGCAGCGGATGCCATGAACACGATAAATAACAATTATTTTACGTTTATGATTTGCCAAAAGTGGTTTTCTTGGTAGGTCAGGTGGCAGTTTGATCGAACCCAACTGTCAATAAGATTCGGGCTCATGTCTATGACGATAGCCTACTGGGCCAATTGTGCTGATCTAGGATCAGGTCCCCCCTGTCAATATAATCTTATTCATTTTGATCAACCAGGCCAAAACTAATTCTAGATCAGCCAAGGATATTTTTTGACAGCTCACAAAGGGTGCCCCCTGGTGTGTGAAAAGCTGCAGTCTTCTGCAGGTCTATCAATAGAGTCTTTAAAGGAGGTTGAAGGTGGAAGTTTCCCCCTCCACTGATACAGGGTCAGATTATATTGGTGTAGGGCAGCGGTTCCCTAACTTGGTCCTCGGGACCCAAAGGGGTACATGTTTTGTTTCTTGCCCTAACGCTACACAGCTGATTCAAATGATCAAAGCTTGATGATTAGTTGAGTATTTGAATCAGCTGTGGAGTGCTAGGGCAAAAAACAAAACTTGCACCCAGGGTAGGGTGGGCCCCAGGACTGAGTTTGGGAAACCCTGTTGTAGGGTAATCTGATCAAGTGTGCTAAATTTAACATTGACCAACCTCTTAAACCTACCAGCATCCAACTTTAGCCTCAATCTTCAGAATCACCAATGTAGGGAGCAGGGGAACTAGGGAATGGGAGGGAGGGAGGGAGGGAGGGAGGGAGGGAGGGAGGGAAATTATTGGAGAAAAATATATTTTATTTTTGTTGTAATAATCGCCAGAGATATATGCGGACTTAAATGTTGCCATTATTTGTATTGTATTCTTAAGACATTGTTTTATTTTTTATTATTAAAAAGTCATAGGTGATATGAACTAACGCTGCTGTATTCTCCCAACTGCTGTAAATATTAATACTGTTCAGTTCAACTCAACAGCCAATAGGAGTTCGCTATAGAACACTGCAGTCCAATGACCAAGCACAGTTTATAGGACAATCTGTCACAGAATCCCCAATCCAGGTCCTCAAGGACCTCTTCGTATGCTGGTCTTAGTTCTGAAACAGTTTCAGTCAGTTAACTTAGAAGGATCTATAAACTTAATTTAAACATACTTCATCAATTGAATGTTGTTTCATAAGTCCACGTTAAGTTTGATAAATAAATTCCGTTTTGAATTGTATAGGAAACCAGAATAACCAGGGTCCTCTCGGGACCAGGATATGGAAAGATGGGTTACTACTGTAGAATCTAGATTCTAGGCACTTCATAGGATATTACAGAGGAGTACATTGCAGTCAGTTATGGGTATACTGTATGTCTATAAAGGTGTGTAGGTGCAGAATTAAGGTAGATAGGGAGGATTGATTGATCGATTGACACTCGGCTCATTTATCAGATTGGAAATCACTGTGTTTGATCAGGTTATAGATTTATATAACATAAAAGGTGAAAAGTATCCACCTAATGTACCGTTTCAAAGAGGGACAAGCTTCAGCTACGGCAAGCCAAGATGAACAAATGACTAAGCCAGCAAATGCAATGTAACAACACTGATCACCTCTTCTTATGAGAAGTGTTGAATTGTTTAGGCTTTAGATTGTAGCCATCGCCATTTTGGTTCAATGACAATAATGTTTTTTCTTAACATTAAATGTGTGGCCTCATTCAACTTGTGTAAACCCATTAACAACTGTCCATGGTTAACGAGGTTTATATTGATGGTCACGTTAACGAACAATGTTGCACATTAGTTGGTTTTTACCCCTTTGAATCCACCATACTGTTACTAACTCCCAGAGGATGACGTCATAGGCTGAGGTTGTAAACAGGGTTTAATCATAGAAATATAATTTCTAGAATTGACATCCCCATTCAAGTCATGTTTATTTCCCTTGTAGTAATTATATTTATATGGGTGTGTGTGATGATGTCAGTCACAACACACTAATCATGACGCTTCACAGTTAGGTTATAAAGGTTCATAAGAAGGTAATAAATCTCATACTCTGTTCATGTTATGAATGGATCAACGCATGGCATTCTAAAAATGCAATGTCTTAAAACAATATGAACAATTTAGTGATATTTGTGATATAGAACTTTTAGAGCCTCCAGAAACTCTCTTAGGGACCATGTAAATGTTACAATGAGCTTTTTTGTATTTAAAGTGGCCTCTTATGAAGCGGTATAATGCCTTATGAACCTTCATAGCACCCTTATAAACAGCCATAAAGGATGATGAAACGTGTAAAAGAAATAAGGCATGAAAGCCTGTCATATATTGATAATGTCACAGCTAAGGGGGCCTCTTGTGCCTGCTTTAATATACAGCTACATCATGTTTTATGACTGCATCATAAGATGCTATGAATGTTTATAAGGCATTATAAGACTTTGCAAGAGACCACTTCAGGTAGTAGTGTTACCAACTTTTCCTTTGTAAATCTGAATGGTGATTGTCCTCGTCGGTCTGTAAACCAGTCAAGTGTAGAGAAAAACAAAAAACTTAAAGTGGGAGTCCAGTATTTCACAACTTAACCATGGATTAGTTTCCCATAGAATACTCAGTAAAATACTGAACTTCCCCTTTAAAAACAAAGATCTTCTCTTTTAGTTCCCCTCCACCTTAGTTGAGGTATCCATGGAAACGCACGGAATCATGTTGGTTTGTAGACTATTGTGTAACTATTGAGTCCGAATTTTATTTTAAGGACAATTTTAAGCTACTACAACTATTACTACTACTAAAATTGAGATTCATAGAGAACTATACTTAAATGCTACCTGATAATGTAATTAATTCACAGATAAAGTAAGACAAAGTATATTGTTAAGGAAACCAAGATACTGTATAAGCAATATGTTATTTTAGTCAATAAAATTGAACAAAATCATAATGGGGAAAAAAAATTTGAAAAGATTATAAAATGTTTAAAAACATTGGAGAATATATGTCGCTTCTTTATTTTGTACTGCATTTTAGAAAATGTAAAAAATAAAAAACAGTTAACATACAAAACAGGTCTCAGTCTGTTTATTTGTTAGTGTGTGTACTGTCTGTGTGTATAAAATATAAATGAATATATCAAACAAATAGGGTAATGTAATGAAACACAAACTTTAATACAAAACATAGCCAGATACATTTTCTGACTAATATCATATAAAAAACAAACAAAAAATAAAATATTTCATTCCCCACCTCTCTTCAGCAGGTGGTGCTAACACACTACGGTGACAACAAGCGATGGAAATGTCCACCTACAGCGCTCTCCCGACCATCGTTCTGGTGTGTGTTTTCTCTCAGGGTTGTGGATCCAGCATGACTTCGCAGGTGCGTCCCAGCTCTCCCAGTTTGACCCTGGCGTACTCTGCTCTGTTCAGGGCCATCTGACAGTCCTTCCTAGCTGAGTATGTGGAGCCTTCGTGGGGCTGGCCTGTGGCAACCTGCAGGGGAGAGAGAGAGAAGGCAGTGTGTGAAAGGGAGAAATGTAAGTGTTCAGTTAGGTGAATGTGTGCCGTTCTGGCTCGCAGAATGCTACACTACTAGGTGAATGTGGACCGTTCTGGCGCGCAGAAGGCTACACTACTAGGTGAATGTGGACCGTTCTGGCTTGCAGAAGGCTACACTACTAGGTGAATGTGGAACGTTCTGGCTTGCAGAAGGCTACACTACTAGGTGAATGTGGAACGTTCTGGCGCGCAGAAGGCTACACTACTAGGTGAATGTGGGCCGTTCTGGAGCGCAGAAGGCTACACTACTAGGTGAATGTGGAACGTTCTGGAGCGCAGAAGGCTACACTACTAGGTGAATGTGGACCGTTCTGGCTTGCAGAAGGCTACACTACTAGGTGAATGTGGACCGTTCTGGCGCGCAGAAGGCTACACTACTAGGTGAATGTGGAACGTTCTGGAGCGCAGAAGGCTACACTACTAGGTGAATGTGGAACGTTCTGGCTTGCAGAAGGCTACACTACTAGGTGAATGTGGAACGTTCTGGCTTGCAGAAGGCTACACTACTAGGTGAATGTGAAATATGCATAACTTTGATGTAGAAAGAAACCTATGCTCCTACTGTACTTAGAAAAGCCAGTAGGCTGTAGTGTAGTCACATGATGAGAGCCATATCTACACTGGCAAGTTCAGTTCCCGGCATGTTTGTGTCAGTCTGTGTGTCAAATCAAATCAAATTTGGCCACATGCGCCGATTACAACAGGTGCAGACATTACAGTGAAATGCTTACTTACAGCCCTTAACCAACAGTGCATTTATTTTTAATAAAAAAGTAAAATAAAACAACAACAAAAAAGTGTTGTGAAAAAAAGAGCAGAAGTAAAATAAAATAACAGTAGGGAGGCTATATATACAGGGGGGTACCGGTGCAGAGTCAATGTGCGGGGGCACCGGCTAGTTGAGGTAGTTCAAGTAATATGTACATGTGGGTAGAGTTAAAGTGACTATGCATAAATAATTAACAGAGTAGTAGCAGCGTAAAAAGATGGGGCGGGGTGGGGGCAGTGCAAATAGTCCGGGTAGCCATGATTAGCTGTTCAGGAGTCTTATGGCTTGGGGGTAGAAGCTGTTGAGAAGTATTTTGTACCTAGACTTGGCACTCCGGTACCGCTTGCCGTGCGGTAGCAGAGAACAGTCTATGACTAGGGTGGCTGGAGTCTTTGACAATTTTGAGGGCCTTCCTCTGTGTGTGTCTGTCTCTTCTTTTTTTTTATTTCACCTTTATTTAACCAGGTAAGCCAGTTGAGAACAAGTTCTCATTTACAACTGCGACCTGGCCAAGATAAAGCAAAGCAGTGCGATAAAAACAACACAGAGTTACATATGGGGTAAAAAACATAAAGTCAAGAATACAACAGAAAATATATATACAGTGTGTGCAAATGTAGCAAGTTATGGAGGTAAGGCAATAAATAGGCTATAGTGCAAAATAATTACAATAGTATTAACACTGGAATGCTAGATGTGCAAGAGATTATGTGCAAATAGAGATACTGGGGTGCAAAAGAGCAAAATAAATAACAATATAGGGATGAGGTAGTTGGGTGGGCTAATTTTAGATGGGCTGTGTACAGGTGCAGTGATCGGTAAGGTGCTCTGACAACTGATGCTTAAAGTTAGTGAGGGAGATAAGAGTCTCCAGCTTCAGAGATTTTTGCAATTCGTTCCAGTCATTGGCAGCAGAGAACTGGAAGGAATGGCGGCCAAAGGAGGTGTTGGCTTTGGGGATGACCAGTGAGATATACCTGCTGGAGCGCAGACTACAGGTGGGTGTTGCTATGGTGACCAATGAGCTAAGATAAGGCGGGGATTTGCCTAGCAGTGATTTATAGATGGCCTGGAGCCAGTGGGTTTGGCGACGAACATGTAGTGAGGACCAGCCAACAAGAGCGTACAGGTCACAGTGGCGGGTAGTATATGGGGCTTTGGAGACAAAACGGATGGCACTGTGATAGACTACATCGAATTTGCTGAGTAGAGTGTTCTTATTCTCCATGGACTTTACAGTGTCCCAAAACTTTTTGGAGTTAGTGCTACAGGATGCAAATTTCTGTTTGAAAAAGTTTGCCTTTGCTTTCCTGACTGCCTTGTGCTTAATTGGTTCCTATCTTCCCTGAAAAGTTGCAACATTTCGCGGGGGCTATTTGATGCTAATGGCAGTACGACCACAGGGATGTTTTTGTGCTGGTCAAGGGCAAGTCAAGTCTGAGGGAAGAACCAGGGGCTTATATCGGTTCTTAGTTCTTGTATTTTTGAATGGGGCATGTCTTTTCTAAGATTGAGGAGGAAATTTACTTTAAGGAACAACCAGGCATCCTCTACTGACGGAATGAGATCTATATCCATCCAGGATACCTGGGCCAGGTCAATTAGGAAGGTCTTTATCCTACCTGTGTGAGGTATTTGATCTGTGAGCTGAGTTCAGTCTCCACTCTGTTGACCGAGACAGTAAACTGACTAAGCTGTCTGTCCAGGAAACTGGCGTTGTGCTTGTCTTTAGACAGCTCCAACACGATGTTACCTAGAGGAGAGGAACACAGTAAACAGTATTAGGCCTATGTATTTACATATTGATACTGGCATTGTGCTTGTCTTAAACAACTCCAGGCGATGTTACCTGCAGTGGGAATATATACCTAACTAGGTATGTGTTTCTTATTACAGAGTATTTGAACTGTTGTTGCTGCTGGTAGGGATACACAGTAAGTAGCTACTAACCGGCGCACTGCAGAATCGTTGCAACTTGATTCTCAACCTCCTCCAAAGCTCGCAGTCGGTCATTCGCCATCACTTTCACTCACTGGGAGTAATAAAAGCAGACAAACGAATATTCCCAGAAGCGGCTACGGCACACTATCGTAGCTAACAGGTTGTTCACGTTAACTCAATGCATTAATCCAAAATGCTGCCAAACTCATGCATGTCAAAACCACACACTACGGAAAGCAAACAGCAACAAAAACCTTCATGAGAAAGAGCGCATAGAATTGACGTAAAAATACTCGGAGCGTAAATATTTCCGTCGTACAATGATGACGTTGTAGCGTGGCGAAGTGGCAAGATGGCTGCAGCAGCGGCTTGGATGCATGGTCCCTCCAATATGCGGTTAACCGAGGGTCTGGTGTCTGTTCTGAAAGAGCAGCGGCCCGAATATTTACCTGCACTTTTAGCGAATTACCGGGAGCATGGAGTGGTTTCGACTCAGGTAAAATTAGTCAGCTATTCTTGGCGCTCCAGTCCGTAGCATCTGTCTCGATGCAATGGACTCGTGTTAGTCTTTGTTTTCCTGTTTACTGTTGTGTCATAGCTATATAACTTGCTACATAGCTAACTCTAATGAAGTTTTGCTTCTAAAGTTTGTATAGTAGGGTTGATCGCCTGGTTGCTGTCACTTACTTCTCGCTTGGCTTCTAACCCCCAGAGTTCGGGAGCAGTCGGTTGTCTCGTGGGACTCAGCAATGCCAAACTCGGCAACAGCAAAACCAGGTTTGAGGGCCTGTGTCTGCTGTCAGTGTTGGTCAAGGATAGTTCTAGTGATGTGTTCCAGCAACACTGTCTGGCCTGGCTAAGGTCCCTACAGCAGGTCATACAGGTAAGACACACGTATGGACTGGAAACACCTGTAGACTTTTACCATAAACACACCTATGGCAAACATCGGGTGTATTCATTACGTCTTGCAAAGGTAATCGTTTACCGTTTCAGAACTAAACGGATGCAAACGGAACGAAACGAGGACCTACCTGAATATGTCCAATTAAAAACTAAACGTTTTGCAGCAGACAAAATATTTTGCTACAGAATCGGCGTAATGAGTACACCCCTCGATTAAGATATGCAGGTACTGTAGCTAGTAACTACATCGGTCCAAAACATTAACAATGAGACAAATCAAACCGACACCTGCACATCACAATGAAATAAAACCGCTCTTTCTCATCTGAAATCATAGGGACGTCTGAAAGTGCGGGGGTATTGATTAGTAGCAGACCGTATCAAAACGTTTTGCAACGGAAAACTGTTTACTCCAAATGTAAAAACACTTTTTTTTCAATGAAAACAAGTGTTTCTATTGGACAAATTCCGGTAGGTTTCGTTCCGTTTGCTTCTGTTTGGTTCCTAGAGTAAACGTTTTCCGTTGCAAAATGTTTTGCAACAACCCAAATGTTTTGTACATTTACATTTTTTACATTTTAGTCATTTAGCAGACGCTCTTATCCAGAGCGACTTACAGTTAGTGAATACATTTTTTTTTTTTTTTTTTTTTTTTTTTTTTTTTTTTTTTTTTTTTTTTTTTTTTTTTAAATTACACTGGCCCCCCGTGGGAATCGAACCCACAACCCTGGCGTTGCAAACGCCATGCTCTATCAACTGAGCTACATCCCTGCCGGCCATTCCCTCCCCTACCCTGGACGACGCTGGGCCAATTGTGCGCCGCCCATGAGTCTCCCGGTCGCGGCCGGCTGCGACAGAGCCTGGATTCGAACCAGGATCTCTAGTAGCACAGTTAGCACTGCGATGCAGTGCCTTAGACCACTGCGCCACTCAGTTACGGTGGCGCAGTGGGCCCACTGCTACGGTCTTTGAGGGCCCACTGCTACGGTCTTTGACTAATGAATACACCCCTGAGCTAAATGTATTCAATTTCACCATTTTCGTTCTCTTCTCTCTCCCCCAGTCCCAGGCCCCTCTCCCGTCCATCCAGCTAGCGGTGGGTGTTCTCCAGGACCTGCTCCAGTATTCCTCCCAGCTACCTGAGCTGGCCAGGGAGGTGGGCCTCAACTCTATCTTGGGGATCCTCACCTCCCTGCTAGGCCTCAAGTCTGAGGTAAGACTAACGCTTAAATTGGGCCGGTACACACTGGTACTGAGTTGTGTGGCACCTCACATTTTCCACAGCTTCAGTACCAGGAGTTCTTATGGAATATTGACTGTAAAATATGATGAGTACCATCACCCAAAATGAGTACCTGCGCCTATTTAATTCCACTTCAAGCACTGTAATTGCGTAGGCTGGAGAATACCATTTGAAGTAAATTGTGATGGTGGCAAAATCTGCAAGATTTATTCTGTGTTAGAGAAGAATGTTTCAGATTGTAGGTAGGGCTGTTGCAGTGATCGTATTACCGCCACACTGGCAGTCATGAGTCATGACCGCAGTCAAATTCCATGTGACCGTTGGGTCACGGTAATCTCCTCTTATTCAATCTGGACATGTTTTGGTAGTAGCCAACTAACCAACGATCATCAGGTCGTTAGTGGCCTGGTACTCAGGGCTCTATTGTCCCTCTAACCACTCTGACATCAATGCAAATGCAATAGAAAATCAAATCAAACAATTATCATCAAAACAGTATCCTGCTTTTAAAACTCACCCCGCTGTGATTGATCAATTTGAAGAAAGAAGTTCAACAACAGGTTGAAACTGAGTGGAACACGTGATCGTTCTGGATGTTGTTTCAAAGCCAAACACAACGAAATGGACAGCGCTTTCTAAAGTGATGATTCATGTAGAACACTTATACACATATTAGAGCTTACGCTTACGCCTATATAGCCCCCGTTATATACAATACATTGCTTAATAGCCTACTGCATATTACACACACAGATTTAAGATATCTTTGGTACATAATTGGTCTAGCCTATACTCTAAAATTAAACAAATTCTAGTAATAGCCTTTGAGTGTGGACTGTATTATTATGCATACTGGATGGACTGGTTACCTTATGCTACGCTCCAAACGTTCTATCCATGAGTCTGGGAGAGAACGTATAGGATAGGTGATGCTGTTGGTTGATTGTGCAGGGCAGCTTACAGAGAATTATAGTTAATTTTTTATTTTATTTTGATAGCCTAGTAATAGGGCATTTTTTTAATATTTTCATAATTAATAGGCTGACACATTACCTTTTAGCTACAGAATATCTCACCACTGTGCGTTTCCATCTCCGCCTCTTTCTCCTTCATTCCTTTCTCAAGCATGCAGAGAGAGGGCTGTCAACAGTTTAATTAAATATGTTTACTTGTGAAAACATGTTACTTTCGATGTTCCCGAACAGATTTCACTTGGTTTACCAAATGAAGCACTGGGTAGCCACAGAAACGTGGTTGGAGAGCCATGGTATATAGAGTTTGGGCGGAATATCACCTGTCGTGCAGCGAGAGGCTGATGTGTGACGTGAAATAAGTGTTCTTATAAGCCCAGACATTTCTATATGCAATCCCATGTGAAAGCAGAGTTTAGATGGTTGCCACTAAAAAGAGGAGGATCCCAGCTGCTACTATATTTAGGCATGTTTTTCAGCTGCTTGCTATCAAACCAGAGTAGCCAACCCGGCATGATTAAACTGCGGGAAAGCGGCCTCCATTTGCTATTAGAGTTAACATGCATACGGTTGACATGTATTTTATTTATTTTTTTCCTGCCCTGTTCCATATTAGTAAAGACGCAATTCAATTGAGAATAGTCTGGTGGGTGAAAATATGATCACTTGATGACAAAAACAGGGTGTGCAGACTGAGGCAAGGAACCGAGCACAAGCTTTTTTTGCGCTCTTTATTTAATCAATAGCCTATAGTCACATCATGCAGCCCATATATGTTTTGATTTCTAAGACATTCTAAGGGTTGTATCATTCACAACTAAATTAGCCAAATAACTCTAAATCTAGCATATAGGAGCTGTTTCAAATGATCACTTTTACGCTCAACATGTCCACTTCATATTCGTACTAGCTCCGGAATGGGAAAAATATCCTTTCTATTTTATTCAGCTAAGTTCAATTATATTCTTCTTATTATAAAATAATGGCACGGGACTTATAAGCATATCTTGTCAGCTAAATGAACAAGCCTACAGCCTATGGCATGGAGCATAGCCAGATAACATACAGTAAGTAGGCCAACTCATATTCTGTTCTTCTGAAATACATTTTCTTCATATCATAATGATTTTTTTTTTTAGACCTGCCTAAAATAAATAATGGATATATTGTGGTGGTTTATATTACTAGTTTATTTTGGTGACTTTTTAAAATGTAAATGTTCCAAGGACGCGCGGCTTTTATGCGTGGTGGCCTGGAGATGCTATACATGTTTATGTTAACGGTCAATTACCGTGAGTGGCAGTCATTTCCATGACCATAACCGGCTGACATTCAGGGCGGCAGGTAGCTTAGTGGTTAAGAGCGTTGTACCAGTAACCGAAAGGTCGCTGGTTCTAATCCCCAAGCCGACTAGGTGAAAAATCTGTCGATGTGCCCTTGAGCAAGGCACTTAACCCTAATTGCTCCTGTAAGTCGCTCTGGATAAGAGCGTCTGCTAAATGACCAATTTATTTATAACTGCCACACACCTAATTGTGGGTACAGGTTGGAAAATACATGTGTTTTTTGTCTCTCACAGTTTCACCTAGCTGCCATGGAGGGGATGACCGCATGTATGACGTTCTACCCCAGAGCCTGTGGCTCCCTGAGGGTAAGTAGTAGACGTCACCCATTCATTACATTTACAAATAAGATGCTTGTTTTTTTATATTATGTTTGTTTGGGAGACTCTGTGTTGTATTTCTGTCTCTGACCATTTGTGTTCTTATGAAGAAACTGAGGGGTATGCTAAAAAGCAGGATCAAACCAGCTAACTTGCTTAAATATTAGGAAATAACTTTTTTGAAAGATAAGCTTATCATTGGCATGGTCTAATTGACTCAACAACCAAAAACACGTATGGAAGTTTAGCTTTCTACTGAACCATAAAATCTGTAGTTATTTCAGGTTGTTTATCAAAGTTATCAGCTAACTCATTGATCCTGCTAAGGCCTGAAATGCGCTGGTTTTAATAATTTTTTATAAAATAAATCTAACCATCTGCCCTACTGCCTCTCAAGACCCGATGGAGGACTCCATCTCTACTTATGGAATCCCCATAGTTTCCCGTTTTAAATATTTGAGAGTAGTATATTTTCTACCTTAGAATGCTAAAATCAATTAAAATTCGACCTCAGTAGATGGACTAATATCCCAGTTGCTTTAACCAGCCGAATATCGATTGTTAAAATGAATATATTGCCACGGCTGAATTTCTGTAGTTCAATGCTTCCCTAGTCCCTCTTCTGGCTGTTGGGATAAAATCCATAGTGTGGTTTCAAAATGTATATGGCAAGGTAAGCAAGCCCGGATAAAATTAACAAACTTGCAAAGAGGGAAAGACATTGGAGGACTATCCGTACCAGACTTTATATTGTATTTCCTGGGCCTCTCGAGTGGTGCTGTGGTCTAAGGCACTGCATCGCAGTGCTAGCAGTGCCACTAGAGATCCTGGTTCGAGTCCAGGCTCTGTCGCGACCGGGAAACCCATGGGGCGGCGCACAATTGGCCCAGTGTCGTTCAGGTTAGGAGAGGGTTTTGCTGGAAGGGATGTTCTTGTGCCATCGTGCACTGGCAGGCCGGGCGCAGTGCACGCTGACACGGTCGCCAGGTGTACAGTGTTTCCTCCGACACATTGGTGCGGCTGGCTTCCGGGTTAAGCGGAAGTAGTGCGGCTCGGCTGGGTTGTGTTTCAGAGGACACACGGCTCTCGACCTTCGCCTCTCCCGAGTCCGTACAGTTGTAGAAAAACAAAACAAAAAACATCCTAAATTGGTTTATACCCTGGCTGAGTATAAAGAGAAATGTGGTATCTCCTATTGCCCTGGAAGAGGTGGTCTCCACTGATATATCCCTTAAAAAATTAATATTGGATGTCTCCTCTAGCCCGGAAGAGGTGGTCTCCACTGATAACCCTTAAACAATGTAATATGGTGTCTCCTAGTGTCCGGAAGAGGTGGTCTCCAATGATATATCCCTTAAACATGTAATATGGGTGTATCCTATTGTCCTGGAAGAGGTGGTCTCCACTGAAGATCCCTTAAAAACAATGTAATATGGGTCTCCAAGCCCTGTAAGAGGGTGGTTTCTCACACTGATAATCCCTTAAAACAAGGTATATGGTGTCTCCTTATGTCCTGGAAGAGGGGGTCTCCACTGATATATCCCTTAACAATGTATATGGTGTCTCCTATTGCCTGGAAGAGGTGGTCTCCACTGATATATCCCTTAAACAATGTAATATGGTGTCTCCTATTGTCCTGGAAGAGGTGGTCTCCACTGATATATCCCTTAAACAATGTAATATGGTGTCTCCTATAGCCCTGGAAGAGGTGGTCTCCACTGATATATCCCTTAAACAATGTAATGTGGTATCTCCTATTGTCCTGGAAGAGGTGGTCTCCACTGATATATCCCTTAAACAATGTAATATGGTGTCTCCTATTGTCCTGGAAGAGGTGGTCTCCACTGATATATCCCTTAAACAATGTAATATGGTGTCTCCTATTGTCCTGGAAGAGGTGGTCTCCACTGATATATCCCTTAAACAATGTAATATGGTGTCTCCTATTGTCCTGGAAGAGGTGGTCTCCACTGATATATCCCTTAAACAATGTAATATGGTGTCTCCTATTGTCCTGGAAGAGGTGGTCTCCACTGATATATCCCTTAAACAATGTAATATGGTGTCTCCTATTGTCCTGGAAGAGGTGGTCTCCACTGATATATCCCTTAAACAATGTAATATGGTATCTCCTATTGTCCTGGAAGAGGTGGTCTCCACTGATATATCCCTTAAACAATGTAAACTTCACTTTGGTCATGTTATTGCGCACACGATTTCTATTTGGCACAAAATTGAAAAACAATGTAACTGAGAATTCCCCCAATTGTCCAAATGTGGAATCCGTACCCTTACAGAGATCATGGACAGTAATGCTTTGGACCATGTTGGGGGTGAGGGTACACTTCTTTCTTGTTTTATTTTCCTGTTTATACTGAATTTATTATTCAACTAGTTCTTACCCCTTTATTTTCTTATTTTGAATGACAGGTACATGTTTTATAAACGTACAATTTGAAATGATTAATATACCTGTAATCCCCCCCCCTACAGATTTCCACTGCCCTTCCGGTGTTGCGGAATTTCCTCTTCACTGACAATTTGTCTTCAACAGGACAAACTGGGTGCCTGTTTCTTATCCAACATGGACAGTGTCAGCCCTAAAGTCCAAGAGGTGGCGTGTGAATGTTATGGTCGTCTGCCTTGTCTGGGCGGAGTCTTGGAGAGAGGGGGAGGCGGGCGTAGAGCCGATGGATGGACCAATCAGCTTCACTGCCTGCTGGCCTCGGCCAATGGCATGCTGGCACAGCTCTACCAGGGTACAGAGTCAGGTAAAGAACACTTCTATGAACTGAAATCTTGAAGAACATGGTGGTCTTAGTTGTACAACCAGTGTGCTGCTCATCCATGTTATATGTAACTGATGTGATTCTCTCCCTCTCTCTCTCTCTCGTCTCTCTATCTCCTGTGGTCTAGAAGGGATGGTGCCGTATGAGGGGCCAGGTATAGAGCTTCCCTACCCTCCTCTGGACGACACAGACCCCCTTCTCCTCCTCCAGCTCCAACACAGATACCGAGCTGTCAGCCTGGCGCTCAAACACACCCTCGGGTAGGTGCCTCCGGTACATACTCTTTTAACACACTCAAACATACACACTCAGCATTCATGTATACAACACACTAACTTTTATTTGAACCCAAAATTCATTTTCCCAAGTTAAAAACCCCCCAAAACATGTATTTTTTGTAAGTGATGAGTGTTTGACCGTGATTTGTTTCTCTCAGTGTGGATCCGGTCTCTGCAGTGCGTTTGCCTATACAGCAGGTCCTCAACCTGGTCTGTCGCGCCCTGGCTGTCAGCTCCAAGAGCATAGTGAGTTAACTTCCGGAATCTACAAGAACTGAAAGACCGTCTAGTTGGTGTATGACCGCTAATGGCATCTTGTGTTTCTCTGTGTGTTTGCCTTCCAGAATGTAACAGGTGATGGGTGTGTGCGGCTACTGGTGTTGCCTTCCATACACAACCATACTGTAGAGCTTCTGCGTGCTCTCATCACAGCGTAAGTACCCTACTGAAGGCAACCCGAGTGCTAGCTGGGTCAAATCTGACAAAAGCTATATCCCATCTAGACAAAACCTGGCTGAAACAAACAAATGAGTCTTCGGTTGCCTAGGCAACAGCCCCCACAATGCAGCAGCAGGATGCATATCTGTTTGTGCTCATGCCAACTCTATTGCTGTCATTTTATAGTCAAACAGTTAAGTTGGCATGACAACACAAACAGATCTGGTACTCAGGCTACCCAAGTGCTGGCTTTTAAAATACATGTTTTATTTTTTTGTACCCCTTTTTCTCCCCAATTTCGTGATATCCAATTGGTATTTACAGTCTTGTCCCATCGCTGCAACTCCCGTATGGACTCGGGAGAGGCGAAGGTCGAGAGCCGTGCGTCATCCGAAAACACGACCCGGCCGAGCCGCACCAATGTGTCGGAGGTTATTGTGTGTGTTTTATTCATTAGTGGACTGATGGATTTTCTTCTGGCTCCCTGCCTTATGTATCTCAGTGTAGGCAGTGGGTTGGTGCAGTACTCCAGTGTGTTACAGAGACTGTTCTCTCAGACTCTGTCTGCCTGGACCCCTCTACCTGAAACCAGTCTGGGACAACAGAGAGCATTCAGGTAACTTACACACACACACACACGCATGCAGACACGCACACACACACTTTAAATCTCTTCATTTGTTTTCGATGTGTTTCTCCTTTGACCCATAGTGCAGTGCGTGTGTCCCTGTACCGAACCTTAGAACTCTGGGTCAAGGTGGGAGGAGCCTCAGCCGGTGTGCTGCAGGGAAGCCCCACCCACTCCGAGATCCTACTGGCCCACCTGCTGGGTGACATCACGCCGGGGGCGGACTCTGTCAGGGTGATGAGATCTGATTGGTTTATTGGCAAGGCGAAAGTTTAGGATTGTCATTACTATGGCTCTGTCTGAAACGGAACCTGTTCTCTATGTAGTGCACTGCTTTTGGTCAAAACATTTCACTCACCCTCCACTTATGTCTAACGCCAACCACCTCTCCTTTTTTCCCTCTCCTTTCTTCTTCTCCCTTCTCCACCCCTCTCAACCTCTCTCCCCTCTCTCACCTCTCCTCCCCCCTCTCAACCTCTCTCTCAACCTCTCTCAACCTCTCTCTCCCCCTCTCAACCTCTCTCTCCACCCCTCTCAACCTCTCCCCCCCTCTCAACCTCTCTCTCCCCCCTCTCAACCTCTCTCTCCCCCCTCTCAACCTCTCTCTCCCCCATCTCAACCTCTGTCTCAACCTCTCTCTCCACCCCTCTCAACCTCTCTCTCCCCACCCCTCTAACATCTCTCTCCCCCCCCTCTCAACCTCTCTCTCCCACCCCTCTCAACCTCTCTCCCCCCCCAACTCCCCCTCTCAACTCTCTTCCCTCCACACCTCCCTCTCCTCCCCTCCTCTCTCCCCCTCTCAACCTCTCTCTCCCATCCCCTCTCAACCTCTCTCTCCCCATCCCTCTCAACCCTCTCTCCATCCCTCTCACAACCTCTCTCTCCACCCCTCTCAACCTCTCTCTCCTCTCCAACCTCCCCTCCCCCCTCTCCCCCTCTTCACCTCTCTCTCCCCCCTCACCTCTCTTCCCCTCTCAACCTCTCTCAACCAACCACTCTCAACCTCTCTCCTCTCTCCCCCCTCTCCCTCCCCTCTCAACCTTTCTCTCCCCTCTCAAACCTCTCCCTCCCTTCCTCCACAACCTCTCCCTCCCCTCTCAACCTCTCTCTCCCCCCTCTTCAAACTCTCTCCCTTCCTCCACCCCTCCCCTCTCAACCTCTCTCCCTTTCTCCACCTCTCCACCCCTCTCTCTCCCCCTCTCAACCTCTCTCCCTTCTCCACCCCTCTCTCTCCCGCTCTCAACCTTTCTCCCTTCTCAACCCCTCTCCCTCCCCTCTCAACCTTTCTCTCCCCCTCTCAACCTCTCTCCCTTCTCCAACTCCTCTCCCTCCCGTCTCAACCTCTCTCCCTCTCCACCTCTGTCCTCAGCTCCGTGCGGCCCAGTCGACAGTGGCTGATCTGGTTTCCAGCAAGCCCTGCCCTAAAAGCCGGAAGCCTGGATTGGCTATGGGCAACGGGGGCGGAGCCTCTCTCCAGAGGAAAGGAGACTCGCTGGCCAATCAGGACACATGCGTGTCTGCACTCAGAGGTGAGGGGCGGGGTTTATCTCATGCGTTTACATTGGAGACAAATGTGTAAACTAAACAAAATAAATTATTTTCATGGTCTTTTTTTTTTTCCTGAGTTATGTTGCCAGTGAATGACCATTCCTTTTCATAGTGTATTTTTAGCATTACAGACAATCACAGGTGAATGATATCTTGACTAGCTGTGCTGTGGTGAGAGTAAAACATTCAACTCTCTCTTTCTCTGCAGCACTGAGACAGATCATATTGACCAGTGGAACTCTGCTGAAGGAAGATGTACACAAGGTCAGTTCAGTGTGTGTGAGAGATTCTTATATAAACCTTCCCCATAGCGTTTGTTTATGATACTGTTTGTGTGTTGATGCTCTCTCTTTCTCACTCTCTTCCCCCAGCGTCTCCACGATGTGGTCCTCCCGTTGTGTGTGCGCCTGCAGCAGCAGCATGGGGGTGGCTGTGGGACCGGGGCGGGGGCTGGGGGTGTTAGTGGTCAATACGGTAGTGCCCTCCCTCGTAGGGAGCTTTACCGCCTGCTCCTAGCCCTGGTCCTAGTGCCCCCACCTCGATGGCCCCCGCCCCTCACCTGTACGGTGTCCATACTCAGCCACGGACGTAGGGATAGGAGTCTGAAGGTAGGGGGAATTATGCAAGCAGGGACCGCACAGGCATGCATTAAAAAAAAATTAATAAATAGAACACGCACACACACTGATAGACACGAATGCACAGTGCACCCCCACCCCCCCACACACACACACACACACACTGGCTGCAGCCTTAAGGTATGGAATGGGCTAAATGTATGACTCTCTCTCACACAGGCTCTGTTGATGTCCTGGTGTTTTGTTTTGGTGGTCTGTGTTTAAGCAACCAAGTAAACATTCTCCTGCCTCATCAATTATACTTTAAATAAGAACATACTGATATATACACACACAATTACACAAACTCTTACACTGCAAACACACACAACTACACATATACACCACATACATCAACTGATAGAGGTAGCATTATATATACAGCTCTGGAAAAAATTAAGAGACCACTGCAAAAATATAAGTTTCTCTGGTTTTACTATTTATAGTGGGGAGAACAAGTATTTGATACACTGCCGATTTTGCAGGTTTTCCTACTTACAAAGCATGTAGAGGTCTGTAATTTCAAAAATCCAGAAAATCACATTGTATGATTTTTAAGTAATTAATTTGCATTTTATTGCATGACATAAGTATTTGATACAACAGAAAAGCAGAACTTAATATTTGGTACACAAACCTTTGTTTGCAATTACAGAGATCATACGTTTCCTGTAGGTCTTGACCAGGTTTGCACACACTGCAGCAGGGATTTTGGCCCACTCCTCCATACAGACCATCTCCAGATCCTTCAGGTTTCGGGGCTGTCGCTGGGCAATACGGACTTTCAGCTCCCTCCAAAGATTTTCTATTGGGTTCCGGTCTGGAGACTGGCTAGGCCACTCCAGGACCTTGAGATGCTTCTTACGGAGCCACTCCTTAGTTGCCCTGGCTGTGTGTTTCGGGTCGTTGTCATGCTGGAAGACCCAGCCACGACCCATCTTCAATGCTCTTACTGAGGGAAGGAGGTTGTTGGCCAAGATCTCGCGATACATGGCCCCATCCATCCTCCCCTCAATACGGTGCAGTCGTCCTGTCCCCTTTGCAGAAAAGCATCCCCAAAGAATGATGTTTCCACCTCCATGCTTCACGGTTGGGATGGTGTTCTTGGGGTTGTACTCATCCTTCTTCTTCCTCCAAACACGGCGAGTGGAGTTTAGACCAAAAAGCTCTATTTTTGTCTCATCAGACCATATGACCTTCTCCCATTCCTCCTCTGGATCATCCAGATGGTCATTGGCAAACTTCAGACGGGCCTGGACATGCGCTGGCTTGAGTAGGGGGACCTTGCGTGCGCTGCAGGATTTTAATCCATGACGGCGTAGTGTGTTACTAATGGTTTTCTTTGAGACTGTGGTCCCAGCTTTCTTCAGGTCATTGACCAGGTCCTACCGTGTAGTTCTGGGCTGATCCCTCAGCTTCCTCATGATCATTGATGCCCCACGAGGTGAGATCTTGCATGGAGCCCCAGACCGAGGGTGATTGACCGTCATCTTGAACTTCTTCCATTTTCTAATAATTGCGCCAACAGTTGTTGCCTTCTCACCAAGCTGCTTGCCTATTGTCCTGTAGCCCATCCAAGCCTTGTGCAGGTCTACAATTTTATCCCTGATGTCCTTACACAGCTCTCTGGTCTTGGCCATTGTGGAGAGGTTGGAGTCTGTTTGATTGAGTGTGTGGACAGGTGTCTTTTATACAGGTAATGAGTTCAAACGGGTGCAGTTAATACAGGTAATGAGTGGAGAACAGGAGGGGTTCTTAAAGAAAAACTAACAGGTCTGTGAGAGCCGGAATTCTTACTGGTTGGTAGGTGATCAAATACTTATGTCATGCAATAAAATGCAAATTAATTACTTAGAAATCATACAATGTGATTTTCTGGATTTTTGTTTTAGATTCCGTCTCTCACAGTTGAAGTGTACCTATGATAAAAATTACAGACCTCTACATGCTTTGTAAGTAGGAAAACCTGCAAAATCGGCAGTGTATCAAATACTTGTTCTCCCCACTGCATGTGTTTGGGTGAAAATTAACATTTTTGTTTTATTCTATAAACTACTGACAACATTTCTCCCAAATTCCAAATAAAAATATTGTCATTTAGAGCATTTATTTGCAGAAAATGACAACTGGTCAAAATAACAAAAAAGATGCAGTGTTGTCAGACCTCGAATAATGCAAAGAAAATAAGATCATGTTCATTTTTAAACAACACAATACTAATGTTTTAACTTAGGAAGAGTTCAGAAATCAATATTTGGTGGATAACCCTGATTTTCAATCACAGCTTTCATGTGTCTTGGCATGCTCTCCACCAGTCTTTCACATTTGATGTTGGGTGACTTTATGCCACTCCTGGCGCAAAAATTCAAGCAGCTCGGCTTTGTGTGATGGCTTGTGACCATCCATCTTCCTCTTGATCACATTCCAGATGTTTTCAATGGGGTTCAGATCTGGAGATTGGGCTGGCCATGACAGGGTCTTGATCTGGTGGTCCTCCATCCACACCTTGATTGACCTGGCTGTGTGGCATGGCGCATTGTCCTGCTGGAAAAACCAATCCACAGAGTTGGGGAACAATGTCAGACCAAAAGGAAGCAAGTTTTCTTCCAGGACAACCTTGTACGTGGCTTGATTCATGCGTCCTTCACAAAGACAAATCTGCCCGATTCCAGCCTTGCTGAAGCACCCCCAGATCATCACCGATCCTCCACCAAATTTCACAGTGGGTGCGAGACACTGTGGGTGCGAGACACCCAGGTGTTGGGCAAAGCTGAAAATTGGACTCATCAGAGAAGATGACCTTACTCCAGTCCTCTACGGTCCAATCCTTATGGTATTTTGCAAACCTCAGCCTGGCTCTTCTTTGCTTATCATTGATGAAGGGCTTTTTTCTAGTTTTGCACGACTTCAGCCCTGCCCCTAGGAGCCTGTTTCGAACTGTTCTCGCCGTGCACTTCACCCCAGCTGCCGTTTGCCATTATTTTTGTAGGTCACTTGATGTCATCCTACGGTTGTTGAGTGACATTCGAATGAGTTGGCGGTCATCCCGTCAGTAGAGAGTTATTTTCGCCCTCTACCGGTCTGTAGCTTTGTTGTCCCCAATGTCTGCTGCTTGACCTTGTTCTTATGAACCGCCGTCTTTGAAATTTTAAGGATGGAAGCAACATGACGCTCACTGTATCCCTCTGCCAGTAAAGCCAGAATTGAACCCTTCTTTTCCTCACTCAAAACTTTCCTTTTCAACTCTTGGCATGGTCAATAGTTATTTTTTGATTAATATTACTTTTGAGGTACTATTAGCACTGTTTTTGCCATACAGCTGTGCTATTGCAAGAGGATAGTGATGACCACAGCAGTGGTTTTTATACTTTTTCCTCGTTAAATAAGATTTGGTTCAGGTGATCACCTAATCAGTACCTAATTCAGTAGAATGAGGTGTGCCTGTGTTGGAATTCAACAGACACTGGAATGGAATGGCTGTCATACATGTAGTGATGCTGATTTAAGAAAGATTTGCAGTGGTCGCTTAATTTCTTCCAGAGCTGTGTATATCTATTACACCACCGGTCCAAAGTTTTAGAACACCTACTCATTCAAGGGTTTTTCTTTATTTCTACTATTTTCTACATTGTAGAATAATAATGAAGACATCAAAACTATGAAATAACACACATGGATTCATGTAGTAACCCAAAAAGTGTTAACAAATCAAAATATATTTTATTTTTGAGATTCTTCAAATAGCCACCCTTTGCCTTGATGACAGCTTTCCACACTCTTGGCCTTCTCTCAACCAGCTTCATCTGGAATGCTTTTCCAACAGTCTTGAAGGAGTTCACACATATGCTGAGCACTTGTTGGCTGCTGTTCCTTCACTTTGCGGTCCGACTCATCCCAAACCATCTCAATTTGGAAAATGAACATGCATATGTTCACCCACACCGCATCTTATAAAGACACAGCGGTTGGAACCAAAAATCTCCAATTTGGACTCCAGACCAAAGGACATATTTCCACGGGTCTAATGTCCATTGCTCGTGTTTCTTAGCCCAAGCAAGTCTCTTCTTCTTACTGGTGTCCTTTAGTAGTGGTTTCTTTGCAGCAATTCTACCATGAAGGCCTGATTCACACAGTCTCCTCTGAACAGTTGATGTTGAGATGTGTCTGTTACTTGAACTCTGTGAAGCATTTATTTGGGCTGCAATTTCTGAGGCTGGTAACTCTCTAATGAACTTATCCTCTACAGCAGAGGTAACTCTGGGTCTTCCATTCCTGTGGTGGTCCTCATGAGAGCCAGTTTCATCATAGCACGTGATGGTTTTTGCGACTGCACTTGAAGAAACTTTAAAAGTTATTGACATTTTCTGGATTGACTGACCTTCATGTCTTAAAGTAATGATGGGCTGTCGTTTCTCTTTGCTTATTTGAACTGTTATTGCCATAATATGGACGTAGTCTTTTACTAAATAGGGCTATCTTCTGTATACCCCCCCCTCCCACCTTGTCACAACACAACTGATTGGCTCAAGCGCATTAAGAAGGAAAGAAATTCCACAAATTAACTTTTAAGAAGGCACACCTGTTAATTGAAATGCATTCCAGGTGACTACCTCATGAAGCTGGTTGACAGAATGCCAAGAGTGTGCAAAGCTGTCATCAAGGCAAAGGGTGGCTATTTGAAGAATCTCAAATATATTTTGATTTGTTTAACACTTTTTTTGGTTACTACATGAATCCATATGTGTTATTTCATAGTTTTGATGTGTTCACTATTATTCGACAATGTAGAAAATAGTAAAAATAAAGATAAAACCTTGAATGAGTAGGTGTTCTAAAACTTTTGACCGATAGTGTGTGTATGCATACATACATACATACACACACACAAAGTTTTCCTATCATACACGCCCCATATTTATATACTGGGTGGTTGGAGCCCTGAATGCTGATTGGCTGACAGCCGTGGTATGTCAGACCGTATACCATTGGTATGTCAAAACATTTATTTTACTGCTCTATTTACATTGATAACTAGTTTATAATAGCAATAAGGCACCTCGGGGGGGGTTTGTGGTATATGGCCAATATACATTTTAGTCATTTAGCAGATGCTCTTATCCAGAGCGACTTACATTTTCACACTGGCCCCCGTTGGAAACGAACCCACAACCCTGGCGTTGCAAGTGCCCATGCTCTACCAACTGAGCTACAGGCGACTAAGGGAT